TATATCAATAAAAAACGATAATCATACATTTGTATTTTGATTGGCTATACAATTTCGAAACTGTATATCATCGGGTCGGAGTGGTCGGAAGTCACGTGATCCGACACCTCGTTTTTGCCATGGCTAGGGTATTAGATAAATACATGATAATTGTGATTTCATGTGACTTATTATGTCATTTTTTATATTCTAACAATAATGGTGATTAATAAAAAAACAAATAAAAAAATGCTAGAATATTACTTATGATTATAAAAATACTGTATATTTATTAAAGCTATTGTTTAGAATTCTAACTATAATCTAAAAGGATAATCACAATAAAGGTAAAGAGAATAACTTTATAGTTGTCACATATAATAATTTAGTTGCAATATTCATTCTTACTTATTGGACTTTAGCATTAAACATTAGAGTTAAAATCAAACTGCAATTTCGATACATAATATAATATCGGTATGTAATTAGACTTTAGCAATAAACCTTTATATTTTAAAACTATTGCCTAGAATTCTAACTATGATCTAATTATTTTAAAAGTATAATCATGATAAAAGGTTCGCAAACAAACTTTGAAATTCAAATTGTATATTACCAACTTTGGAAATATGTCCCATATAATAATTTATTCGCAATATTTTTCAATTACAGAATTTAAAATTTAAAATTGAACTGCAATTTCATTATGTTGCTTATTAGACTTTAGCATTAAACTTTAGGTTTTAATCGAACTTCAATTTTGATACATAACATTAGGCTACTATGTAATTAGATTCATCCTTACTAATTAGACTTAGCATCAAACTTTTAGTTGACAATGTAATTAGATTTATCTTAACTTACCATTACTTATTAAACTATATAATGTTATTAAACTTTATATATTAAAAAAAGTGATCAATCTGAGTGTAGAATAATTGGCACACATTCCTTATCAGGGTATATTTTTTAATACATGTCATATAAGAACATATGCCACCTGTGCCACAGCTTGATTGATGTCGCTCAATTTTTTTATTATATAGATAATAATAAAAAAATGTAAATATATATTTAATCTTTGTTTTTAATTGCTTTAAGCATATTTTTTTTTTAAAAAAATTTTTTTATATAAATTTATGACATTTATGATTATGCCATGATAAGCTGTAAATTTGTTTTTCAATGCGTATTAACGATGCAACGCATCGTACTGTCACTTTTTATCATTTATCCAATAACTATAAATTATCGAATTTTTTAAAATTATATATACAGTATATATTGTAACAGGAGAAATGGGACGCGAAGTTAGTCACATGACCGATCGACGTGACAATGGTAAGTCGGCTGTTATAATTAGGTAATAAAGGAAGGACGGGAAGGATTGTGAAAAGAATTATGTAATTTAGCTTTAGCCATGTCGCTGTATCATTATGTCTAAGCCGCCATAGACAAATGTAAAGTATAAATAACATGTAAAGTATAGAGGAGTAGAAAGGAGTAGACAAAGAAGAAAGTGAGAAAATTAATAAAGACTCGGTCAAATGCAAACACGCCTAAAATCACCCTTTCATTTATTTACCCAGTAACGGTTACGCGAATCTCTGCTAGAGTTAGCGACTGACTCGCCGTTGCACCGTTACAATATATATTAAATAACATTTAATCGAATGCATCTAATAAATTGGAATACTTGATATTTGAAACATGTTTTTCTTTAAAGCAATGTTAAAAAAATTAATTTTTTTAAATGTATGTTTTTTTTTCGAATCAGCAATACTGTACCGTATTTCGAAAATAGAACTTGGTGTTATATGCCCATAAAATGAACCAAAATAGTAATATATAAAGTTTACCGTTCTATGAGCTTGAAATCATTGATTCACTGGATATAATCAACAATTAACTTATTTATTGAAAGCTGGACTATTTTATTATACTTCAGGTAACCTTGCTTCCTGCATATGTAAAACAAAGATCACGTACAAGTAAAGCATAACAAATATACTAATATGATATATGCGTCTAAAAATATTGAAATGAAATATGTAAAAGGTCTATTTATATTCAAAGAAAGGTTATGTTCAATAATTACAAGAGAATAAAGAATTAATGTGAAGTAGAAATAAGTAAAAGATAACGTATCCGCGGTTTTCTTCATAATCTAACATGATGAAAAATTTTTGAAGAACATTGATAAATACAAATAATGCACGATTTCCATCAAATTGATATAATAATAACAATTACTCTCTAATAGCATGAGAATATAACTGAATATTTCCATATATCAAATATTATATTTGCACTATATTAAATACAAGCAAAGTTGTATTGCTATAATTACTGTTACCAACATTATACTTCCCTTAAAAATATTTCCAGTACTACTTCCATAACTATTTCCAGTATTACTTCCAGTATTACCCCCAGGACTATTATAATGACATTGGGAATTCTTCATACAAGTATAGCCGTTCGGACAACACCCTGAATAATCCGAGCACATATAGTAATTATTAGGGCAATAGGAACCGCAGTACCCTCCACCAGCGCAAATGGTGCCACTTGGGCAACACCATATTCCGTCAGAACAAGCATAGTATCCGATATCGCAACCCGATGCATTTGCACTCGTGGAAAATTTCGATCCGAGATCAGATGAAATGTTATCAAGTTGTTTTTTTTTTTGAGTTATCGTATCATCAGCAAAAGAGAAATTGCCGAAGACTAAGATGGAAAGTACAAATATTA